AACAAGTTAAGAGATAAAATACCTGTATTTAAATAGAATGCGAGAATTGTTTACAAAATATTTGCCTGTCTATGCCAGGCGAGCTGGAAAGCGGTGCGACTGCAACCAAAGCCTAGCCTAGAAGGCAAATTTAGTTGATGTGTACGTTCTTAAAGTGTCCCTGACTCTTCCACTGGTAAGTGTTTAGTATCCGAACACAGAAATCTATACGCCAGCAAAATCATCCACTTTGCTTAAGCATGGAAAATTAAGCCTAGGTAAGGATTTTCTCCACCTCATCCAATCAGCTCTCTCTCCCTGTTTAACTAATTGTAATGTATTTAGTCTTAAGAAAAATAAAATCTGAACAAATTTGAAGCTGTCAAAGAGCTGTGTTATTCCCTTTCGCCATCCGTTGTTTGTTTTTTTTTGGGGGGGGAGGAGTTATTGTCATCCATTTAAGATTGAAATAATTCCATAATTGTTGTTAAAACCTGATAACTTTGTACACACGCGGAGTTGAACATGAATAATTATAACACGAACGCAAGTTTCGTTGAAATGTGTATTATGAATCCTAAAATGTTGTATATGCCTGCATGTACGTACAGGCGTAAATACGCCACAAAAAGACACAAAAAGCCATTGTCGTTAAAACCTAGCCTTTGGCGTCCTCTAGCGACAAGTCGGAGATTGAGCACAAAACGAACTTAATGGTTTTTTTTTTTCATTTATAATCAATGTGTGCATATATAACAGGCCGACGTGTTGGCTGACTACCAACAACGCAAATTGAATTTATATTTTGAGTAAATACAGCGAGATAATTCAGTTATAGAAAAATATTTTTTACAAGAATACAACACGGTCCACAGGTTATAACAGGTTCTGTTGAGTGAAATGTTGCTTTTGTTCTATGTTTTTTTTTTTGTTTTTTTTTTTCTCTTCCATGTCAGTTATAGTGTGTTGTGTCCACCCGGAGTACATCTGACCTTCACTCCAAGCAGCTGTCTGTTTAACGAAGTCCCATTTTCAAGGCTGCTCGCGCTTAAATCAAAACTCCATTATAGATTTTTACCTCCAGGGGAACCCACAGCTCACAAGGTCCTTGGCAATTTTACCTGAGGAACAAGCTAAAAGGATTTGAATCTCTCAGGACGAGCAGGTATAGGGGGAGGGTATGTGCAGGAAACTGAAAGAGAGGGAGAGAGAGAGAAAGAGAGAGAGAGAGAGAGAGAGCCTCACCTCAGGACTTAAGCTCCACAATCTTGCTCTACCAGGCAGAGAGTAAAAGCAGAGCAAACCTGGTGATTTAGATGATGGTTCAGTGGCGTGGTACCCAAAACGCCAAAGCCTGGAGAGAAAGTGGAGGGAAAAGTGTGAAAAAGCGAAAGTGTTGTTGGAGGAGTAGCCGGGGCAAGGGTGACCTATGCTCTTGCAGTTCATTGCGCCTTGTGTACTTTCAAATCTGTATGATTGTATATATATATGTATATATGTATGTATGTATATATGTATGTATATGTATATATATGTATAAATATATATATACACATATATATACATATATATATATTTTTTTTATATATATATATATGTATATATATATGTATATGTATGTATGTATGTATATATGTATATATATGTATAAATATATATATACACACATATATATATATTTATACATATATATACATATATATATATATAAATATATATATATATATATAATAATGGCTAAAGTGACATGCGTTGAAGTTCATGGCAGGTGAGGCCCTGACTTACAAAGAAATGAACCCTGAAATAGTTAATTTACCAGTTGACAAAAGTAACGCACAAGTAACAACCTGTCATGCTACATAGCTAATCTCAGTTCTTTACAATACAAACGCAAGGTATAAGACTTTGAAAAAAAAAAAAAAAAAAACTTTGCTCAAGAACATATAAAGCCTATGTTTGCTTCATGGGCCTTTGCAATTCTCCAAATGAGCATGGAGTGGTGAAAATGAGCAGATTTCAATTTTAAAAATGAAAAATGCTGAGTCATTTCTTACTAACACTGCAAAACATTCATGGTGTTACCTTAATTTGTATATAAAGTCCATACCTGTTCTTCTTCGCTTTCATTCCTTGTAAGGCTCCTCCTATTTTTACTACTATTTTTCTACTATTATTGATAGTAGTAGTAGTAGTAGTACTACTAGTAGTAGTATCATAACAAAGCTTTTTTCCTCAGCTTTCATCGTTCCGATGTGTTTTGATATAAGGTCAGCGAGACAATTTTTCACGGGAATCATTCAGCAGTTTTTGTCTCCAAAAAAAGAATCAAAATGATTGGATAATCTGTCATAACCTTAGAACAACCTTACAGGAAGTACCAGCAGACAACATCGTACATGTATGTCATGAATGCCCATAGCTGCCCCCTCCCCTTTCCTCGTGTAAGTTTTCTGTTTTTATTAAAACATCTTTTTTTTTTTGTTAAGTGCGCTAGCAAATTTGGCAAATGTATTGTTTTGTATCCTTAAGATCAATAACGTTTGACATACATACGAAAGAAGGTTTTTTCCCGTCCCTCCTCCATCCTTTACTGTGTGTACTAACAAGACAGATGGAGGCCAAGCATGCAGACGGATTACATTGGGAAATTTGTCACTTTGTGGCAACAGTCTCCTTAATATGTGACAAGGCTTCCTCACCCCGTGGGCATGAGATATGGGAGTGCGGGAGCAGGGTGTCGGTGCAGGGTGTAAGAGCAGTGGCTGTGCAAAACAGCTGTCAAAGTCACGTGCTGGCCCCTTTTTTTTTTTTTTT